GAGACAGAGTCTTATTCTGTTGCCCTCGGTAGAGTGATGTAGCATCACAGCTCACAGCAACCTCCAGCTCTTGGGCTTAGACGATTCTCTTGCCTCAGCCTCCCAAGTAGCTGGGACTACAGGTGCCTGCTACACCGTCCAGCTATTATTTTTATTGCAGTTTGGCCGGGGCCGGGTTCAAACCTGCCACCCTCAGTATATGGGGCCAGCACCCTACTCACTGAGCCACAGGTGCCGCCCACCATCACCACCTTTTCATTGACTTTGTTCATTCTTCTATGGATCAGCTTTTTTTTTTTAGTTTAAATTCTTGAAATGTAAAGTACAGTAGTTCTCAGTATATTTACATAGTGTGCAATGACCACCACTAATTTCAGAACATTTTCAGCAACCCAAAAGAAATCCCAAACTCATTATCAGGCACTCCCCATTTCCTTCCAACTCCTCTCTCACAGCCCCTAGGGACTACAATCTACTGTAGGTTTCTTTGAATTTGTCAATTCTGGAAACTTAATATGAATGGAATTATATAATATGTAAGCATTTGTGCATGGTGCAGTTTTTTTATAGTGTCTAATAATATGAGTGTTGAAACATAGATGTTATAATACTGTTACTTATATTAAGAAAAATCCTAGGAAAGCATTGCAAAACCATGTCATATTCTATTTAGCTTAACACCTTACATGAACAGTCCTCTCCCAAGAGATTTTTCAATGGTGGTAGGGCCTGGATTCAATTTTTTTACCAGGAAAAAAGATACAGACATGGTATTGCCTACCCAAGGCTCAACCTGAAATTTAAAACTGTTTATCTTTCACTCCCTTCCAGGCCTATAAAATATGCATACATATTAACTTAACAGGATCTTCTTCTCAGAGGGACGTCCCTACTTTACCCAACTACAGAATTACCTAGTTTCAAGATTGCCAAATAAGAAAAATCCTTATTGCAACAAAAAAGAAGTCTCCGATACAAATTTTAATAAAAAACGGTCACAGAATCTCTTATCCCATCAACTTTACTCACCCTAGGAATCACTGTGAAAAATTATCACTCTTCTTCATAATTTTTTGTTTGAGACAGAGTCTTACTATGTCACCCTCAGTAGAGTGCTGTGGTGTCACAGTTCACCGCAACCTCAAACTCTTGGGCTCAAGTGATTCTCTTGCCTCTGCCTCCCAAGTAGCTGAGACTACAGGCACTTGCCACAACGCCAGGCTATTTTTAGGTTGCAGTTGTTTCGCTGGCCCGGGCTGGGTTCAAACCCACCACCCTCAGTGTATGTGGCTGGTGCTGTAACCAGTGTGCTACAGGCACTGAACTCTTCTTATAATTTTTATAGAGGAAAAAAAAAGTGACTTACTTATACAAGGTGGCCATAATGCAATTTAAGATTGCACATGAACTTTATGGCCAAAAAATATCTTTATATATCTGCCAAAAACTTACTAAAAAACCAGAAATACTTCTTTCTCCATCATCCCGCTAGGCAGAAAGTTACCAATTAGAATAAGCATATCAAAATTAGAAAATGCAATAAAGGCTCGGCGCCTATAGCTCAACCGGCTAAGGCACCAGCCACGTACACCTAAGGTGGCGGGTTCGAATCCCCAGCCCAGACCCGCCAAACAACAAT